AATGACTAAATTAAATGCTTCAGCGTTTCTAAAAAAATACTCTGTGCTCCTCAGAGTCATTCACAAATGTGATCCTAACTCACATGAATCTCTGGTCCTTGTGGAGCTCAGATTTTCTGTGAGCATCTTTGCTGGCAACTGGAGGGATGAGTGTGAGGCTGCTGCAGACCTGCAGCATTCCTGCTGCACCAGACACTGGTGTCCCCAGGCTGAAGCACTGTCAGCTGGCTGAGGCACCTGGAAACTCCTCACCTTCTGATGTATCCACCCTGTCCCAGAGCAAGGCTTTTTAACTTTGCTCCTTGGAAGCTCAGAGCCAAGGGAAGGGCACTGCAGGACCTTCACAGAGCAGGGCTTTGCTGATGAGATAAACGAAATGAAACTGAAAGAGGCTGCACCTTGAGTCAGAGTCCATTGGGCTAGATTTAGCTCTGTTTCTTCATCAGGTGTTTAAGGAACAGACTGGGAAAATGGCTTCTTGTGACTGTAAAGTACACTGGTGCTATAGCAAATGAAGGGTGGCTCTCTGCAGGTTGTTCAGCCTCTCCCCTGGTCTCCTCCTGCTTATAGTAACCTAGTGAAGATTTCCACTGCCTCCCAATAATGTGTAAACAAATAAAAACAACTCTGCGAGCCCAGCCCAGTCGACAGAAGGGATGTGATCACCCAGTTAATAATCATACTAAGTGTCTTCAAATTGTGCTGCTTTCTGTAAGGTCAGCCAGCTAGCATCCCTGCAACCTGTCTGTCCCTGGAGCTGAGACTGAAGGTGTGAGTGCTGTCTCTCTGGTTCACGCAGCTATGGTGTGGTCACTGGCCTGCTCTTAAATTGCAGAGTTTGAGGCAGGTTTTATGCAAACCCTCCGCCTGAATCTGTTCTTGCTTATTGGCTAGAAACAAGAGAAATTCCACATGCAGGAATAAAAAAGCAGTGATTTATGAAAACTGAGATAATTATTCTCTGTAAAACGAGGATGTCATTGCCTGCATCTACATCTTAGGAGGTATCTTGCAAAGCTGTGCTGTCTGTCTTCTGTGGAGAGGTGCTGGAAACTAGGCTTTGCTGTTGGTGGGATGTCCAGCAGCCTGAGAGGAGAAGGCACAAGCATGCCTGTACTGTAAGGAGGATGTTGTTGAAGGAATGCTGCCTGTTCCATGAGAAACGAGCCAAGGGTGGGAGGAGTAGACCTGCTGGAGGCAGCTTGTGGTGCACTTACAGCTTCCTTGAGCTTTGTTTTCTGATCCTTAGGTAGGAATCAGAAGTGAGGACCTTCAAGATGGTTTTGTCTCAGCTATACTGTTTTGATTATAGTTTTATTTAACTCAAGTGAGGCTATCAATGAGGTTGTTGTTTGGATCAATACTATAAATATCCTCTAAATATTAGTATGCTGGTCAACTTAAAATCTTAAGCAATAAGGGTGATTTCTGCATCGTGAAATGCATGAAATCAATGTGTAACTGTAGTCATGTGTGCCTGTAATGATCTGGCACAGCTTTTATTGCATGGACTTGGGATGTATTGTTTAGGGGAAATTGTTCAGAAATTTTCCTAATGGAGATTAAGTGAGAAAGAATTCTGTGCCAGTTAGGCAGCAGTATGCTACTATGGTATTTTTGTGTTGCTGTTTTTTTCACTTACTTTCTTTTTTCTTATTTGCTTATGTTATGCTGACTAAATATGTGTTTTAAAGCAGAGATTCTACAGTATTTAGCAAATATCTTTCAGCTTCTGCACTGCTGTGAATAAAAGTTTTTAGTTAGCAGAGTAAACAAGTAAGGAAGTAGCCTGGGTTGGATTTTACATAATTACTTTTAAACCCTCAAGTGTGTGTATGGAAGGTCAGTAGCCAGATGGGGGACTTGGTGCAGCAGCAGAATACCAAAATACCTATACTTCAATGTGCTCTTGTTCTCTCTCTTCCTGATGTGGCTAGATTGTTAATGCAGTAGCTGTCCATTGAGTGTGTTTTTTCTAATCCTAAACACCTGGCATTCCAAACCATCTGTGTGTTCACAGTGTAGCTATTTATTTTTTCCGGGAAAAATTACAGTAATTATTCCCCCCCCCCAAAAGAAATATTAAAAAAGCTAAACAAATCAAAAACTATTTTTTTATTCTCTGAATATTTCAGAGAAAAAAACCCAGCAAATCAGCAAATGGCTGGAATACTTTGGATGTTCATACTTTTTCAAAGAAACAGTTTAATGAAAGTAGTATTTGTTTATTCTCAGATGTGATGTGAAAATAAAAACTAATAAAAAAAATCTGGACAGAAATATGTTGGGAAATATTTTTCATATTGGAGGAAAGAATGAAAAATAGTAAATAGAATATGAACTCAGACAGAAACGGTGCCAGACGGTCAAGCAGACTTCAAGAAAGTCAGAATAAGGTAAAAGAGAACTTGATGATTAAAAAGTTGCTTCCTCTCCACCAGGTACAGCCAGTCAGTCTGGTTTTCCCCAGGCCCCTGTCAGCAGCCGTTGCCATGTCAGCAGTCAAAGGTGTGGCTTTATTCATCCCACTTTCCTTTTTATGTGGTCTATGAGTTTTCCTTTATTAGCATGTCTTATGTTGCCTGTTGTCCTACTGGCAGCAACAGGCTTAAACTGGAAGTTTCTAAGGAAAATCGAAGAGTTTCCAAGTTCTGCCAAGCTGTCTGTTTTGAAATAGTTATTCCTAATTTGCAGATCTTAGTTAACATGTGAGTTTCAAGAATCTTTCTGTTTTATAAAGGTCGCTTTGTTTTGGGAGGGCTTTTAGCTGAATTTGGAAAGGTTACAGCTGAGTCAGAGTCTAAGCCCAGTGTTGCTGAACTGAGAGAGCTACCTAGCTGAACAAATCCTTGCCCAAACCAAGCACCCAAGGGAGAGAAGTGGGTCTTCCAGCTGCCATCACCTCTTCTGCCTTCCCTCCCCTTAGGCTCCTTGGAGACTTCCTATTTCGCAGTCCTCTCCCACAAAAGGACCTGGAGCAGCCAGGTGCCACAGAACAGGTTTGAAAACAGTCAGTAAATGTTAATGCAGGTTGAAGTATGGGAGGAGGGAAAGCATTTCTAGCACAAGTTCTCAAAGTGGGGTGATTTAGAGCTTCGCTGCATTCAACCCTGGAGTTCACCTTACAGGAATAAGCTTGCCAATTTTTACAGGTTTATGTCACTGGACAGTAAACTGGAGAAACTGGGAGTAAGGAAAGCTGCTTTGTTTTACTGTGTAGTTGTCTTTATTTGATATCCCTACAGGTGGTTTGTTCTGTATGCAATAGAATATAGTCTGGAGCCCTTTAGACAGTTGTACTAAACATTGCAGTGCAGATTACGTTAAGTTTTAAAACATCTGTAAAATCAACAAATGGTCTGAGTTTGAAAACAGCGAACCAGCTGTGAAGTGTGCGATCAGTTTGAGTGTGAAATGACTGAATACTGGGTAAGGCTGCACTGAAGGGGACCTCCAGTCGGCAGGTTACAGTCTGGGAGATAAGCTTGGGTGAGCTGCTTCTTGGATCGCGACAGCCTATTAGCAAAAGGAAGGAGAGGTCTCCCAAGGAAGGTGGGAAAAAAAATGTTTGTGTATTTCTCTTACATTTGCTGTTTGTGAACATGGAAACCTTCTCTATTTTGCATTTTCAACGTCTATTCAATTTACTGTTAAATTATTTCATGCCCAAGTCTACCATTGTATGTTTTGTAGCCCTGAAACTGAAGGTATTGTTTGTTATCCTGGTATGGTTTTGTTTATCTGTATAAAGCAGAAGGCCCCCTAACTTTCCAACCTGTTGTATATTTTACAGCTGTAATAGATTCAGAGATGCATGATAAGGGGATGGAGTTCAGCTTTAGAAATCTGGTTTAAATTCTTGGTTTTTAAAAAATCCCTATTTTTCCAACTAGAAAATAGTGGCCTACAAATATAAAATGCAGCCATTTAAACTACTTGCAGATGTTTATGGAGATCAGTTTGCACAGTGCTGTGGGTGGTTGGGTCTGATTTAGTAAAGCAAGCTAATAAAATCACACTCGGCTCCTAGACCAAAGCTTGTCTCCACAGACTCTGCATGTGAAGACAGCTGATGCTTTTCATAGGAACTGCACTTCTCATCCCGACCCACTCAGGCTTGGACCTAAAAATTCCCTCTGGCATTGGCCATGGGTCTGGTGATTGTTAGTCACAGCCAGCACCCTAGAATGGTAAGAAAGGAAGCCAAGCACCCTGCTTCAAAGGTATTTTGCTCAAGGCAAGTAATTTGCCTTTGCTTGCCTCTGGAATTAGAATTTTTAAAGACAGGTAAAATGTTTTGGGATAATCACCTCTATTTGTATTTTGGCTGCTGAAAACCAGCCCAAAATTCCTTAGTCAACATCCATCTTTTCATTAGCGATATAGGAAAGCAAATATGTTTTCACAGTCAGGGAGCAAGGAACAGATGAGCTGTTAGATTTCTGTTTGTGCAGCACTTCAGTGTTTCCAGGTTTATTGATGCATCAGAATTTTTCCAGGGAGCTGTAATGATCAGAGCTATGAGAGTGAAGATTGTGTTGTATCATATCAGTGTGGCTGAACTGAATGAAACAACATATGTAGCAATTGGATGCTTACCACTCACAGGAATTAAGCCATTTAACCTCTTGCGAAGGTAATATTCAGATTGGACTTCAGAAATCAGAAAAAGGAAGAAAAGTCAAAAGAAGGAAAATGAACCCACAATTTTTTTTAAGCATCTGTAATTTTTTAATATGTTATTTTGTTACAGAAGCTCTACGTACCTAGGCTTGAGGGTACACTATTTTGCTGCAGATTGTAAAATTAGAAATGAAGTATAGTAGAGGCTTTTATCTGTTTTCTAGCTGTACATATTCTGATAATAGTAAAATTGCCTTATGAGTTATGCAGTTACATTCTGCATATGAAACAGTGTGGGATGGGGGATCCAAAAGATGGGATTTTTTTAAGCTTGTATATTAATCTTGATGTGTTTAAGAGCATTAGTGGATGTTTTTTGATTGCAAGGAATGTTGTTGCCTCTGCTCATGAAAGTGGTGGTGAAACATCAACTGCATCTTCATAAGAAACACTGGAGTTTTCAAAGCAGTTTCAAAAGGAAAGCATTTCAGTTTCCTATGGGTGAAGTATAACATCCTGAAGCTAATCAGCAGAAAATGGTGGTCATATTCACAGTGATTCCCTGGCTTGTGGGTATTTGACCTTTTAGAGGTGTAAGGTTGTTTTCCTGGAGATACATATACTACTTGCAGGCACTCAGATTTAAGGTCTTTTGGGTCCAGCAGCTGAACCTAAGCTAGAACACCCTTTCATCTTTCCTATAGAAGCACTGCAGGCAAATATATTTCTTTCTGAGCATGTCTCAAACAGCACGATCTTCTTGTGCTGAACATGCTGTCAGCTTTTGATAGGGACTCATTGACTAATTCTCTGCATTTTCAATCGAATTTGGTCATCCTCTCCTATCTGATTCACCATATTTTTAGGAATTTCTCAAATAGCTTTTACCTGTGCCTGCCTGATTGCTTTTAAATGGACACCTGCTGAGCTGCTGCTCTTATCTGCAGAACCTACGCTGCTTTTCGAAATGCACTTATCTTTACAAAGGCTTTGGAGCTAATGTGCTGTGCAGCAAGAAAATAACTCTTCCATTCATCCAGCTTGTCTTAGTGGACAAGTGTATGTACAGTAAGTGCTGTCCCTTCATCTGCTGGGATAGGGTATCTGACAGCTGGAACATTACCATGTCAAAACCCAGCTGGTTATATGAACAGAGAAAGGCAAGAACATGGTGCTTTGATCTTCACTGTAATCAGGCTATGTGTACTGCCAGCATCATAATTGTTTCTATTTAGCAAGCTCATCTGGAGAGTATTACAGGACTCAAAACAAAATCCTTGTAATTTTATCAAGCACATTAGACTAATGATGGCAAGCGCTATATTTCCAGCAGCAGATCCTGCCACAGGCACATGAATAAAACAGTCCACTTTTCCCCAGAATGATCCACCTTTGAAGCCTTTCTCAATATAGTCAGAATTCTTATCTCTGAATTACTCAATAACTCTGTGACTTAATAGCTAGAGAATTGTTCTGAATTATGAATTAAAGCTTTATTTAAGATCCAGTAGCGCTTTTTTTTCCCCACCTCCTTTCTTTCTTTTATAAAGAAGCTTCTCTGGTGTATTTCTCTGCTTGGACTTCACCAGAGCCTAGAATGATTCTGTCTTTACAGAAATCTTCATTATGATCTTAATAGTAATTGTGAACATTAACTTTGATCCTCACTGGGGAGATGGAGTGATAGGGAAATACAGGTACAGGAATAAGATGGAATAGAAAACAGGAGGGAGAAGAGAGTAGAGTGTATATTGAAAAGCCATAAGGAAGGATAAGGCTAGGTTTATGGGGATGCGGCAAGGGACCTGCCAGCTCTTCCGCTGGGCATTTGCAAGGATTGAGAGTGAGGAAAGCATGTCTCTTATGCTTCTTTTTGGTCCTTCCAGCATCAGGGGTAGCTTTGTCTCTGCATGGGCAGCTGGCAGTGTGCCTGTTGTCATGCACATGGCTGTGACTGCAGTTGGACATCCTCCAAATCCATGGCCTCTCCAAACATTGCTACTGGTGAAAAAATGATGGGGATGCCTGTCCAGTGCAGGGCAGTTCACAGTGTCTGCAGCCATTGGAAGCTTTTCTATCCCTGCTAGGTCGTGGGGTTTTTTCCGTTTAACGGAAGGTGTCCCAATTGAGATGGCTGTCACGATGTCATCATCAAAGATTTCCTGCACTCTTAAAGCCATTTTCATGCTGTGGATACATTATTTACCATACTGCTTAGAGACTTAGTATGGTCAGTTATTTTAATCTGCTAAATAAAAGTATTTATATTGTGGTAATTTCTTAAGTAAAACTAGTCAAGCTTCCAAAGTAGTTGGTTTCTTCTGCTTCTTATAAGCCTCTTCTATGAATGTGCTGCTTTGTTTGTGAGCTGAAATAGTACAATACCAGAATTGTAAGTGATTATGATTACTATCTAAGTATTCGTATTTCTAGTCTTGTGCCACACTGCATCCTTGATCTCCATAGCCCTGTGGAATGTAAGTCTTTATTCCCTTTGCTAAGGTATCTAATCTTGCTGATGGAGGGGTGGGGACCCTCTTTCTCACTACTGCAAAGTGGTGATGTTCCTCCTGTTCCCCAAGGAAGTGGCAGAATAGGAAGCAAAGCAGATTTCTGCACAAGGTAAGGGAGGACGGGTGGGAGAGAATCCAAAGGGGATGCTGAGGGGAGAGGTCCCACAGGGAAGGGAGTGCTGCCAGGGTAAGAAACAGGAGAAGGGATCTCTGCTCCTGTGCCTAGCCTCCCGCAGAACTCACTGATGGCATGTCCAGACGTCACGCCAGGGCTGGAGATGCCTTCACTGGGATCTCACAGATTTCAGTGTCAGGCAGTGGAATGTTCTTCCCTGGCCATGGCCCCAGCGTTAACTGTGTTGCTTTGTTTACTCTAGATACACTTTATACTGCTGTTCAGTCGGCAGGGGAAGTTAAGGCTTCAGAAATGGTACACGACGCTACCTGATAAAGAGAAGAAAAAGATCATTCGAGAAATTGTTCAGATTATTTTGTCTCGCAATCAAAAAACAAGTAGTTTTGTTGACTGGAAAGACCTCAAGCTTGTTTACAAAAGGTGTGAGTAATTTTATGAGAACATATAATTACTATTCATATAAATAACGCGTGCTAGAGCAGGGAAAATAAAGGCTCACTTTAAGAAAAACAGCATACAAAACACTAAGTGCTAAACTAATGGGAGCCTGCCATCAGCAATGTAACTGTGTGTAACAGCACAGTGTCCCCGGATAAATTGGCAGTGTAAATTGTGGGTGCAGACTGCTTAAACAATCTGTCAAAAGAGAAAAAGGGGAATAACTTAATATTGGTGATTGAAATTTTGTTAGGAGGCTTTAGGCTTCACTGCTCCCAGTTCCCCAAGGCAGCCTGCTGAGACATGTGCTGGGCTTTTTCAGACTCTTTGGGTGATTGCAGGAACTGTTCCGAGGCAATTTCAACATTGTGTCATATTTTGACTTTGAAATACTTGTTGCTCTGGAAGGTGTTAATTCCCATTTCCTTTTCCAAACAAATCACTGGTCCCCAGCTGCAGGATGCTAAGTGTTCACTGACTGTTAATTCTTGTAAAGTTGTAGCAAACAACAGTAGCCTTAAGGTATAAGACACTACGAATTAAGCAGCTTCTCCCATTTAGCAAAAATTAAGAGTTCCCTGCTGTGACAGATGTAAGCATCTGGCTAGATGATGTGACAGATTGAGCCTCTAGCCATAGCACCAGGGAATTGGTGTAGATCACTGCTCCCATCTTGGATTGATTTAAACAGAAAGTTTTGCTGCCAGTTAGTTATGAAGATTGTTTGGTTTAAGCAGTTTCATACCTTATGTAAAATACTGTCAGTCATTTGATGGCTGGTGGCCTTCCACCTTTATTTTTGCTTTAGTTTTTGTTAATTAAGACCAGTAACACATTCTGCAGTTTAATTAACCCCGCTTACTGTGGTGCTATTGCAGCAGGTGAGTAGTACTGATTTACCGTGAGGTTTATTAAGACCAGTGTTGGAGGCATCCCACTTTGCCAAGAGTGGAGTTTGTTCTTCTAACTAAATTAATAATTCCTTTAAACTATCTTTTTAAGTGTTCTCTGGGACACCACAAGAATAAAAGCATGTTATTTTAGAGACCAGATAGACATTAACTGTCATTAATGTAACTTATAAGAGACAGAACAGAGCACTGAGGATCCATCTGTTCACACTCACATTTTTGCCTTTGTTTCGTTAGGTATGCTAGTTTGTACTTCTGTTGTGCAATAGAAGAGCAGGACAATGAACTCCTGACACTAGAGGTCGTTCACCGATATGTAGAGCTTCTGGACAGATACTTCGGAAATGTAGGTTTCACTTTCCCTTATGAACTGCATTCCTGGCAGTCTGATAAACAAGCAGTTGTCTGAAGCTGTTTTAGTTTGTGTTTCATCTGTGCTATTTGCCCTGTAGTCTCTTTCAATCCGGAGTGAACTCATTAGTAGAATGTTTCATAAAATAGCGCTAAAACTATCAGAAGATTGTTTTTCCACCACCACCACCTTCCCCTAGTTAATTTTCATGTTTTGTAAGCTTGTCTTGGAATTGAATTTGAGGGGAAACTTGAGGAAAATTATTTCAGTCCTGTGTGACAGTGATTTAGTTCTCTTTCCTGACATCTTCAGGTATGCTGGTTTTGTTTGTTTCATAATATTGTGTAACAGTGAAGGATACAAAGAAGAAAAAGTGAGTGTTTTTCTTAAAGAAAAATCTGAAGAAGGTTAAATAAGTCTTTAAAGACTGCAAGAGACCCATCTTTTCTATGAATATTCTTGAAATAGTTCCCACTACCTTAATTCATCTCTTATTTAAATCTCTGTCCCATTACTCATGTTTTACCACCTCAAAACAAGAAAGCAATTGGTGATGCAAGGTCACTAGGACAGGGAATTTGTCTTGCTCTGTGAAACTGTGCATGAACTTATGTAACCCATGTTACAAGTGCTATATGAGACCTACTGTAAGGTTAATAGGCTAGGAAGTGCACTTTGTTCTCTGAAAACTGGGATGAATGTAGTATATTATATAAAATATAACTGTAATATCTTTGCTGCAAGTCTAGGCTATTTGTATGAAGAGAATTATGGGTAGAAGCTGCGATATTACATAATGAGCAGTATTCTTCATCCTGCTAACTGCCACAAGAGTGCATATGTTGTACAAGTTTGATCATCTTAACAGCTTTTGGCCCAATAGTGATTCCAATGCTACAAAAGTGATTTAAATATGGGGTGTTCTTTTGTTCTGGCAGGTGTGTGAGCTGGATATTATCTTTAATTTTGAGAAGGCTTATTTTATTCTTGATGAGTTTATAATTGGTGGAGAAGTACAAGAAACTTCAAAGAGGTCTGCAGTGAAAGCCATAGAAGACTCTGACATGTTGCAGGAGGTAAGGCAGAAGAAGACAAAAGACAAACACCTCATCTTCTTACATCTTCTGTGTTTGACAGGAGCTGAAAATACGGCTAAGCACCTCTGAGAATTACCTAAATGTGGCTTGTGTTTAGTTTCAAGAGGTACAACAACGCAGTTAAGATAGCAGTTACATAAGCTTTCAATTCAACCTTCTTGCATCTTGTGGAATCACCAGGAGGCTCTTTGTATACTGCTGTTGCTGTCTTGCACTTTAACTGCTAAGGTTTTTTTGGATATTACATTAGGAAACTGTTTAAGACATATCTAGGATATTTATATAATATAAGAACATAATCCATTATTATATTGTATGTATACATATGTATATCTAAATACAGGAAAATGTTTTGCTGATATATTGGAAACAGATTACCTACTATTAACATTTAAAACTGGAAAGAGTAAGTGCTGGCAAACTCCAGTTTCATTCAAAAACACCTGGGTAGATTTTCTGCAGGACCCAGATATACCTAACCTTTATTCAGAGCCCTGCAGGATTCTCTTGTAATATACCGCTGAGCCAGGAATGGCAAAAGCACTTGAATGTGATGGATTTACTTCATTTCTTCCTAGGTAGTGAAGGATCCATTGTAATACTGAAGGGAACAGCATAGCTAGGGACACACTATGTGAGTCAAACAGTTTTTTGCAGTGGTCTGGCATTTGCATATGAAGCTAAGCCAGTTAAGTAGAAAGGCCTATACATGATGAGTTTAGCCACAACTGTGATATGTCATGATTTGAAGATCAGATCGTAGAATGCTGTAAAATGTTTTTAGATCAGAATTATTTCCACATTTTAATTAATCTGATCTAATTCCGTGCAAAACTACATTGTCTGTAAAGAGGAGAAAAGGTTTGATTTGAGAGGTTATTGTACTGTTCAATAATGCTCCATCACTTGACTCTTCTTTTTTTCTTTCCCCAGACAGTGGAAGAGTACATGAACAAGCCTGCATTTTAAAGTTACAACTACCTGGAGAACTGCTGTATGCACCTGTAAAGTGTACTTCCTAAAATTGCTTCCCAATGTGCCAGAGCCTCAGAGAAATACCAAAAGCAATAACTAAAGGGGTTTGTTTGTATAATTGTGAAGATGAAGGTCAGCTAATGTAGCACAGGGTTCAACAATTCTGTACTTGCCTTACTCTGCATATGAGTTTCTCAGAATTGTTATTACCCTTCAGGTAGTTTCTCTTCTCCTTGCTGGACTAAACACTTGTTTTGTACCATGCCTTTTAGCTACTGGTTTTGTCATCATAAAATGTTACTTTGATGGTACTTTGAAGAAGTATTTTTACTAGTTTTTGTCCACTGCTGACCGTATGACTCTACTTTTGTACAAATGTCCATTATTTTGAATGCAATGATTATTCTGCTCTAATAATATTTTTTTCCAAAAGCCAAATTGTTGTGGGCCTTGATTTCAGAAGCGTGTTTTGAAAAGATTAAACCACCTAGTTTAGGAAGAAATGTCCTTCTCTTTAGACCAAGCCCCTTTCTTTCACTGTCTTCCTTCTATTTTCTGCTCTAATCTGCAAATAAGACTGCTCCAACTGCTACTAGCATGCACTCCACACCTCTAATCTGGAAGGCTGTTCCGACTCAAGGTGGGCTTCTCCCAGGTTTAATGAATCCTTTTTGCTGCTGCATGTGGATGGCCTCTTTCTGTCTTTCTCCTCATTTTCCTGTCCCCTTCCTAGGTTCCCTGAACCTGAACAAAGGCTGTAACCTTTGGAAGTGTGCAGCTTGAGAGCAGGAGATATCCAGAAGACAAGAAATTAGTCTTTGGGATTCATTGACTGCATAGGTTTGCATTTCCCTTCGACACAGATTTTCTTTGATTTCTGGGATGTACAGTTGGTATTTTCCTTCAGGGATTTTTCTGATCTTTAAATGTCCTTCATTCTTACTCCTGCCCTTTCATTGCTCCTTCCTTCCCAGTCTGTCTGTATCTTCCTGTAGAGAGGTTTGGGGTTTTTTTTGGAGGGTGGGAGCACTTTGACACAACATGACAACTTTGTTAATTGTCAACCTGCTTTTCTGCCTGTTATCTAGTCTGTTACAAGTAAAACAAGTAAAAACAAGTAAAACAAGTCTGTTAGTAAAACAAAACCGGTTACAAGCTGGTTCATAGCATCATGATGCTCTTATTATAATTACTTTATCCATCTGTTTTCTCTGTATTGATGTCAAAGGCATACTTTCAGCATCAAAAAAATGGTGAAACTGCTGAAGGGTTTTCAATAGCTCTGAAGGCCTTCAATTTAATAGTAAATTATTGAAATTGTATGTGTTGTATATTATTTTCTCATGGCTTGAAATGAAGTTTTTTTTTTTAAAGTAGCATTTAATTGATTAAGGAGCCACTTTAGAACATGCAGAGACTCTTTCCGCTCTTTACTTTTATAAGTGTCTTTTATTCAGTGAAATCATCAGTAGTTTCATTTGCTTTTACTCCTTTTTGGAACCACGCTGTGATTTTCCGACTCTTACAATTGTTGCGTGAATTCTGGAGTATATAAAAATAGGAGTTCCAAAAAGAAGATTTCTTGGTATGAATAAAGATATCTTGAGCTTTTTTCTTCAGTCATTTGAAGAAGAGCTGTAGGACTTCTTTCTCTCTCATTTTAAATGAAGAATTCCTTATGGAAAAGAAAAAATACATTAGATAGGGCTACTTATGCCAGCCATGTCAATATAGCATATAGCATTGCCAAACTGATGTACCCAATGTCAACTTGAGAAGTGTGATGGAATTAATATAGCTTCCTTACCCTTATGAAGAAGGTCATTGGAATATGCTGCACCTGTTGTGCCAACTGCTTTTATGCGACAAAGTTGGATGGAAAGCACGTGTTAGGTACTCTAAAGAACTGCTTGATTATATTTGTGGTCTAAAAAGCATCTACAGGTTCCTGCTGCTTTTGGCTACAGATGGGCTACACAAAGTAGGTAGGTGGGTGTTACTTAATGTGACTTTTGCGAATGTCAGTGTGTATGTATAGTATACCTATGATATAGAACAGATTGGTTTGAAGCAGAAAACTTGTATTTATACTTCTTACAACCTTCAGTGAGAAGGGGGTCGCTCACCTAAGTGGCGTTACAATGGCATTCAGCTCAACCCAACTCTTTTCTAAAGGGACAAAGCCCAGGTGAAACCCAGTTATTGTCAGGTTGCCTTTAGGTCACTGTGTCAAAATGCCTGTGCCTCCATCTTTGCGGAATTCCGTCAGATCATCAACAGGACTCTGCATAGTGTAGTGCACTGAAGAGTATAAGTCATCAGAAGACTTATGCCTCTCCTGATATCTTAGTTCTTTGATTTTTCTTAAAGCCGGTGATGCATATATCTTTGTATATATTTACAAATCTCTCTGAAGCATTGCCCATTTCAGTTGTGTTTGCTGTTGATGTTTCTTTTCCCAACTTGCCTGACTTATAGGCAATATTCAATGTAAAGTTTTGTGAGACTACTTTATGAGATTATTATCAAGAAAGTTTTAGAAAGCAGGTTCCTTACTGGTTTTCCCAATCTCACTAACCTCTTCTGCAGTTATCTAAATTCTCACCTTGATGAGCTTCAAGCACATACATCCTAGTTTGCAAAGTTGCATTTACTAAAATAATCATTAATCGTAGTCATGTTGCTAACCTAGATTCCCTTCCTTGCTTTCGCCAGCTGTATCTAACAAAAAGTTGCTTGGTTTTCTTATTAGCATCTCTGCCTGAAGGATTCTTGCTGTGATGTTGCTGCTTACCTGTTGTGACAAGGCTGGTTCTCTGTCATGCAACTATTTGCAACTTGTGAGTTTTGACATCATGACAATTAAAAAGCAAGAGACACTGACTGGGATAAAAATAAGTGTAATAATGTCAAAAGGAATAGTAGAATTATGACAAATTATTATGAGTGAGAGACAGGAGTGACGGGATCTCAAAGGATGCATGAATTCTTAACATTTGTTTCTTTTTTCATGATGCATTTCTGGCTGTGGTGTCAACTCTTATGAATAACTATAGGAAAATTGACATTCAGGTTACCTCCTATAAGTCTTTGTTTAACAAAAAAGCCACTGGAAGTGAATCTTCAACACCTCCTTTTAGCTGCTCCTACATAAAACCTGTGTTTTATAAAGTTCTGTGCTTTCAGAAACCCAGATGGGAAACTTAGTATAAACTATAGGTATGGTTCTGTGTCTGAATGCAATGCTGAAATAATGTTGCACTTATGAAAGGATGAATTACTCCCCCCGCCCCCCATTAATTTACAGTCCTTTCAATAGATAACACCTTTTTTACACTCTGCTTAGCACTGTGTGTGTTGGAGTAATACAGCATGCAGTAACAGTACATTAGGGGTCAGGAAGGGTTCGTTTTATAATGAAGGTTCAGAGGAGTTTAACACTGTGAGTGAAAATTTCAAAGATACCCAGAGATGTTCAATCAACAAAATAACAAGGCTCAATAATTCAATTCACAGAGAAAAAACCCTCTCTGTGCCTCTCCATGACATTCTGCTGCACTGAAAATGTGTTGGAAAACATTTCTGTTAGCACAGCTCCTCTGTGAGGAGAGACGTTGCTCTTGCCCTGCATGAAATGACTAAACCCAAAGGTCTCTTTTCTGCAGTTAAGCCCTATGGTGGGATTTTCATTAACTTTATTTGATGCCTCCATGAGCGTGGAGTCTGCATCATCGTCTTACATCACTGTATTTTTGCTTTAGATGGCTGCCGAGAACTTGTGAGCTCAGACCAGGTAAAAACATCCTTCTGGGGAATTTGATGACATTCCCACTGAATGCACTAGCATGCGTGCTCCTTAGCACGTTTCATAGTACAGGTAAGATATAGCTGTTGATTTAAATGTCTATTAGTATTTTTCAGGGATTTCGTGAAGCGAGCGGGTCTAGGTTGAAGTACAGTAGCGAAAGCTTCGTGCTTACGGCAGAAATAACTGCTGCGAGAGACTTAATGTTTGCTGTCATGGAAACCTGTACCCTTGGAACATGACTAATGAGACCCAGGCTAAGGGAAAGGAAGAAGCTATTCTTGAAATTACTGTTCAGTGAACCCTAAGGAAGACCAATAATATACATTATCATAAATTACAGTTGTTTCAAGTTCTATTGTCTAGTCCACTTAACCTTGTCCTTTTATTTACTTATTTTACAGCTCGTTACCACATGTTTTCATACAAAGAATAAGACAGTTCAAAGCTAATCCTTTGCCCATCTAGAAATAAATAGTGTCTTATTTGCATTCCACTTTCCCAGAACAGTACAAAATTTGGCTGACTTTTGTGGAAAGGACACACTGGAACCAAACTTGTGGCTGGCCTGGAGAGCCACAGTAAGTTGAGGAATAGTTAGCAGTTTAGCTGGGATTTTTGCCTTTGGTTGTAGCTGTATGTTTTGAAGACAGTCCACATACATGAGGTAGGGAACATTTCTGTGTATATATCCATATGGAAAAATCCAATTACCCCTGTGTTTTAGTGCAGTAAGATTCCTGATTTCCTAAGCTGAAAGGAAACTCCTTTTAAAATTCCCACTGAGAATTCTCCTCTCTTTCAAAGCTTCCGTGTCTGTTGTAAAAAACAATGCTGAATGTAGAATCCCTAGTGGCACAGGGTTACAAATTCATTACGTCCACTTGCTGTGGATCTCAGTTGCTCTGTGGATCAGGATCGTGCATGAATAAATTGCCAGCAGCTCTGTGAGTCTCTGCTGTGTGGTGATCACAATTCAGGGTCCTCCTGGAATCTAACAGTGAGGAGTCAGCCTCAGCTGAGCCAAGCCAACAATGACACATCACAGAGGAGTATCATCTTCACAGAAGTTTCAGGTGAAAGAATATGTTCTATTTTATTTCTCAAGAGGGCTTGGGGCATGGTTCTAGGTGAGTATTACCCTGGGTTACACCTCTGAAAGAGCAATCTTGACAATGTGGCAAGAAAGGAGTATTCTGGGGAAAAGAGAAAAGAGCTGCCTGGGTTTGGAAGCTGACAGCTGCAATTGGGGAGAATGAGGGTTTTTTCTGGTGTCTGTTGTCAGTGACAAGGTGGTCCTTGTTCTCAGAGGAAAAACTGGCTTGGGTAATCAGATCTTGTTTGGCAACGACTGACACAGCGTTGTGTTGGCAATGATAGGAATGTTCTGGCAAAAAAGGGTACTGCAGAGAGCAATGAAATATCATAAATTATTTTTAAATACGGTAATAAAACATTGATTCATTTTGGCTGGGTTAATATGAGGAAACAGCAATATTTAAGATGACAGTTCTGAGTGATGATGAAATTAATTAATATGTCAAAAATGTTATGTCATAATCTATACTCTTGCATTTATGTTTGAGCCTGGCATAA